TATGTGTTTGTTTATGCATGTGTATATTTGTGTGTGCATGTGTGTATGTGCATACATATGTATATTTGTATGTGTATGTGTATGTATGTGTGTGTTTGTGCGTGTCTCTGTGTGCACGTGTGTGTGTTTGTGCATGCATGTGCATATTTGTGTATGTGTATCTCTACATTTGTGCATGTACACACTTGTGCATGCATGTGTGTATGCATGGGTGTATGTGCATATGCACGTATGTGTTTGTGCATGCATATGTGTGCATGTGTGTATGTGTGTGCATGCATGTGTGTGCATGCATGTGTATATTTGTGTGAGCATGTGTGTATGTGCATGCATATGTATATTTGTATGTGCACGTGTATGTGTGTGTGTTTGTGTCTGTGTGTCCACGTATGTGTGTTTGTGCATGCATGTGCATATTTGTGTATGTGTATCTCTACATGTGTGCATGTGCACACTTGTGCATGCATGTGTGTATGCATGGGTGTGTGTGCATATATGTGGGTTTGTACATGCATGAGTATATTTGTGTGTGTGTGCATGTGTGTATGTGTGTGTGTGCAGAAGGTAGAGAAGAAAAGTAATCACAGGGCTTGGTGGTGAGCACTCTGGGGAGCCTAATACACACTCCACTTCTAAGAAAATGCATACAACTCATGAAATGCCATTTTCAGTATAATTTCATTCTTAAATCAATATCACTGTCTGCTCTGTCATCAATCAGTGATTCCCCGTTCTCTATGACTGCGTCCGGTTTTGCAATAGCCCACGGAACATAAAGACATGCACATCGGTCGGCGTGGGCTGCTGTAACAAGATACCGCAGGCTGGGAGCTTAAACAGTGGGAATTTATGTCTTGCTGCCCTGGAGGCTAGAAATGCACGGTGAAGCGGTCGGCAGCTTCGGTTTCATCCCGGGCTCGCGGATGGCTGCTTCCTTGCTGCGTGGTAAATTTGTGTCACTTGAAGCAACTAGGTTTGTGGTGCATTGTGACAGCAGCCATCGGAAATTCATGGAGCGCCCGAGGGTGTTGAGGACGGCGGAGGCGGCGGGGGGGGGGGCGGTTGCTGACACTCGAATGGGTATGAGCACTCATGAAGATCTGATGAACAGGACAGGTTAGAGGCAGTAGTAGAAGCTGCGGGGGAAAGTATCGAGTTTTTCCTGTTCTGATTTGCTTGACCATTGGGCGTGCACCTGCACAGAACACTCAGCTCCGTGAAGGCGGGACTGAAGTCTATTGGCTGAGCTGTTTTTGTGCACCGTCTGCCCCGCCTGGCATGCTTAGGTGCTCCATGAAAGCCCTCTGGAGGAAGGTTGAAACATCAGGGCCCACGGCAACCCACGCCTCTCTCACGTTCACGTCCCATCGCCCACGGCTCAGCGCAACCCAACGCGTGGACTTCGATGCATTATGGCCATATTTCCTGGGACATCATAAGCTGCCTATTTATCAATTATGATCTAATTTGATTGGATCCAGAGCCGCTTTATGCCCGTAAAGCAGATGTTTTAAGCCCGTCCGTGGAGCATGTGGTTTTCTCTTCCACAGATGATACCCTCCGGTGGAGGAATTCCCTCCCTTCACCCTGAGTGCAAGCTTCCCAAACTGCCTCTTCTGGCCACCTTTGGCTCTCCTTCACCTATCCAGGCAGGCACTCGATAAATAATTACTGAATAGATAGCGAATGCATGCCAAAGTGGTGCTGTGTGGATTTCGAGGCAGCCGACACTGAATTCATCATGAGCCCAGGCAATGTGGTCTTGTTTTGTTTTGTTTTTTAATTCCAGTCCAACATCTATATCCTTGTGGAGTTTCTACAATATGAATGCAGTTTCCACATCCAACCTTCAAATCTCTGTGGTCACAGGAGAGGCAGCTCAACTGGGAGACTTTCCAGCCCAAGAGAAAAACCACTGACCTTGGAGCTAGCTTGTCAGCTGCTCTGACCTTGGAGCTGGTCAGCTGTGCTTCCAAACGCCAGGGCCCTTGTGCAAGTCATGCATCGCCTAAGAAACGATGATATTACTTTTTCTCTTGAAGATGTGAGTGCCGTGAGCTGAATTGTGCACCCCCAGAATTCATGTGTTGAAGTGCCATTCCCCAGGATCACAGAATAGGGCTGTATTCAGAGGTGGGGTCTCTAGAGAGGGGATCAAGGTAAAATGAGATCACAGAAGTGGGCCCTGATCCCATAGGAAGGGGGTCTTTAGAAGAAGAGGGGATGAGGACACAGACATGCACAGAGGGACGACCATGTGAGGACACGGGGAGAACACGGGGTCTACACACCCAGGAGAGAAGCCTCAGGAGGAACCAGCCTCAGCCCCACCTGGATCTCGGATTCCCAGCCTCCAGAACCGAGATAATAATATATGTCTGTTGTTTGAGTCAACCTGTCTAGGGTGTTTTGTGAACACATTAAGTTATAGTTATGCTATGTGTATGTATGTATATATGTCTATTTCCTATATACATGCCCAAATATATATATATATAAAATGTATACCCAATTATGTATATATAAAATACATAATTGTATATGTATATATACACATATATACAACTATATATACATGTATATATAACTATCTGAATTATATTTATATAAAATGTATACTCCAGTATGGGTATGTATAGATAGATAGATAGATACATAGATAGATACCTGAGTATATATACTATATATACAAAGTGGCCAAGAGTAGAGGAATAAAATTGTCAACAAGAAGACACTAGGGATAGAAATGTAACAGTCATGGCGCTGGTTATGCATCTGTCCACGCCATTCAAAACCCACCCACCTGTACCCCGGAAAGGGTGGCTCTTCTTTAGTGTACATTACATCTCATTAAACGTGAACTGCAAAAGAAGGAGCTTGATAGTATTTATCCCTTCTATCTGTTAGCAAAACGACGTCAAGTAAGAAGCATTAAAGATAAGCCCAAGTAGTGCTTTCATTTCTATACAGAAGTGTTATGCTTGTAAGACGGTGTTGAAATTAGTCTCGTTGTCGGGCGCCTGGGTGGCTCAATCATTAAGCGTCTGCCTTTGGCTCAGGTCATGATCCCAGGGTCCTGGGATCGAGCCCCGCATCAGACTCCCTGCTCCGCGGGAAGCCTGCTTCTCCCTCTCCCACTCCCCCTGCTTGTGTTCCCTCTCTCGCTGTGTATCTCTCTGTCAAATAAATAAATAAAATATTTTAAAAAATTGGTCTTGTGGATTTTATCTGAATGAGCACTTTCTTTGGAGACAGTATGTGGGGTGTGGCATCCCTTGTGATCCTACTGATTGCCATTCTCGAGAGTTTTAGTGCACATGAAAGGTGAGCATAAATGCACCCCTTTACCTTCCTTCATTTGTCCCCTACCTTGCATATTAAACAAAGTATCTGTAGATGAAACGAAAGACAGAAAGTGTTCAGGTGTGCACTTGGAAACACAGCTGCCAGCCCGCTCCTCCCCTCTGGGTGGGTGTCCAGCTGGGGCAACAACCGATGATGCCCAGCTCCCTGCACACCCACTCTTCTGCACCCTCAAAACAGCCCTGAGGGTACAACAGAGTGACGTGACCAACGGAGGGGGCCTGGGACAAGGGAACGGGCAGATCCTTGAGAAGGCCAGGTGACACCGTCTGAAGTCTGTAGGTAACACGGCCACCCAGCGGTACTGAAGACGTGGTGTTTCCATACCGTGTCGAGTCATGAGAACTCCAGAGCGCTGACATTCCCTAGACACAGTTAAAACCCCACTCCTCTCGTCTGGTATCACATGCCCCGGAATGTCATCCCAAACCGCTGTGACGTGCGCACGGGATGGTGTTCAACCCACCTGTTCGTCTGCGGAAGGTCGGGAATATCTGTCTCTCCGTGGCGCCGTGAGAAACAGCCACGTGGTGGATGAGGTTTTCCACGCGGACACAGAGCTGTCCCCGTGGGACTGATGACTTTATCCATCCCCGGGAACAGATGGGACATGCAGCGTGCCAAGATGCCGGGCTCATGCAACGCTGCGCTCCATCTGACTGGTCTCCCTCAAGCCTTGGACTGAGGCATCCGGTTCTATCTTTGGAAACTCTTGATTTTGAGCACAAAATAAATGAGGTGCTAGCAGGTTATCACCCAAAGCGTAAAATGAATAACCACGAATCCGTACTGATATAGGTTGTTGGTTAAATGGATAAACACACAGGGGAGAAGAGGCATATCTCCCATGGAGAAGAATTCCAAATAATTTACCTAAATAGTGGGGACTCAGGGCGGTGGAGCAAATCTCCCCACGCCTTCCGTGTGTGCTGGGCAAAGTGACTTCCTTCCAGAGAATAACCTTATGGCAGAGAAACCAGATCAACACACCTCAACCAGGTGATCAATGCCAACAGTGATGAGTCAGGTTGATGGATGCACCTGGATACGAGGTGATGTAAAGGACACTTCATCTCAATGATTTCCTACCCAAGAACCTATAAGCCCAGTCAAACCAGGAGGAGAACATCACAGAAACCCCAATTGAGGGGCATCCTACAAACTCCCTGACCAGCACTCCTCAAAACTCTCAAGGTCGTCAAATACAAGGATGGCCAGAGAGACCGTCCCAGCCCAGAGGAGCCCAAGGACATGAGACAACCCATTGTAATATGGGATTCTGGATGGAGATCTGGGACACAACAGACATATCTGGGGGAAACCAAGAAAATGTGAATAATATGTGGGCTTTAGTTACTAGTGATGTATCTGTGTCCGTCCATTAATGGTAACAAATGCATTAAAGTCATGTAAGATGTTAACGGGAAGGGGAAATGAGTGTGGGGTCACAGGAAATCCAATTATCTTCACAAACTTTTTCTCATCCTGCTTAGCCTGACTACTCTAAAAACAGAATTTTTTTTTTAAATTTTAAAGCTCATTTTTTAAAAAAAGCTACGTGGGCTTGGTGCAGTCGGGATGCCCGCAGGAGCCGTGCATTTCCCTTCTGCTCACAGGAGCATGTCCCTTGTCCGTAGGTCTTGGCTTCCAAGATTGGGCCACCATCTCCAGAGGCAGCAGAAGGAGCTTCCCTGGAAGGTGGTCTCTGATGGCAGTTGCGTATGTTGGGGAATCGGGGGGTGGGTGGGCAGCAGTATGGGGATGTGCATGGAGCAGGCTGGTTCCGGGTTGGGCGTCTATGGGTTGAGATGTCCTGGGTTGGCTCCATCAGCAGCCCCGATCATGCCTTCTTGTCAGGAACACATCGGGGGCTTGTGGTGGGTCCATGAGCGTCCCCAAGCATGCGTGAAATGGTTAGTAGGGGCTTACCCACCAGCGTGGTTGCAGCCCCTGGTCTTTGTCCACAGCTCCCTGCCTTGATTCCCACTTGGATCTGCCCCAGCTCCAAGTCAAGGAGGACACAGGCTTGACAACGATCTTGTCCCCAAAGCTGTGTCCGGGGTGGGGCTCATTACGCTGGGTCTGCAGGATGCATGCTTGTCGCTCTCGGTCCACGGGGGCCCATCTAGAAATTCCGGTCCGTTCACCAAGGATTTACCAGAAATCTCACAGAGCCCAGGCGTTACCTTTAAAGATAATGGGCAAATGCAAACATTCATTCCCCTTTAGGGAGTTCTGGGAACCAAGCAATCCGCTCAAACTCCTCTCAAATTGTGTGGGAAAGCTCTCGGCCCTCGGAGGGAGATCGTTCTGGGGCACGGCAAGCTCAGGGGCTCTGGGGGTGCAGCAGCTGATGGGCAACCATCACCTTGCATGGGGAAAGGTCCTTTCTCATGTGGAAGTCGCCATGTGTGTGTGCACGTGCTTTGCACAATTACCCACGGTAATGTGCCGTGGATGCTGGCATCTGAACCGTGCATGGGTGGGGGGGGGTACGGGGGTTCGTGAACTCCATCGTGGTCACCGAAACCCGAGTGTCCAAAGCCAGCTGGAGAGAGGCGTCCATGGCAGAGCCGCCTGGCTCTCCAGTTCCCTCTCCCACAGCTTCTGTGATCTAGACGCGAGCACCCACCACCTCCCCGAGTCTGGGGACGGCACCCATAGCAAACACAGGGGATGTGAGGGAAATCACGACTCGCAGGACCCAAGTTAGCGGGGAAACTGAGGCATAGAGGGCGGCAAAGTCATCCATCCGGATGGACCTCACGTAAGGACACAGGGAGCTTATGAAATCACACACACACATACACGCAACCTGCGCACACACGCAGTTTCAGCCTTAGACACGGAACCTTCACCATAACCATATAGCTGCAATTCTTCTTAACTTTTTTTTAAAGATTTCATTTATTAGAGAGAGAGAGCATGATCAGGAGGCAGAGAGAGAAGCAGGCTTCCCGCAGAGCAGGGAGCCCAATGCAGGGACTTGATCCCAGGACCCTGGGACCGTGACCCGAGCCGGAGGCAGACGCTGCAGAGGTCCCAGAACGCGGGTGAGGCTTCAGCAAGTGGAATAAACCCAGAGCTGAATGAAGACATGAAGCACAGTGTCTCGGAGGACACGAGGCAATTGCGTGGCGTCCCTCGTTGGATGCTCTTCCGTGGCCATCAGGCGGCTGTGAACACGGACGCGGCCAGACCGTGCCGTGTGCCGATGACACCTGAGTGCATTGCACCTGCTTCTTTGGTGCCGTGGGGCGGCCGTAACAAATGTCCCCGCGCTTGGTGGCCCAGCACGATGGAAGTGTGTTCTCTCCCAGCTCCGGAGCCTGGACGCCCAAAACCACCGTGTGGGCAGAGCTGGGTCCTCCCGGAGACTACGAGGGCACCTCTGTGGCCGGGCTTCTGTCCCAGGTACGTGGGGCTGCCGGCCATCCTCGGCATCCCCTGGCTGGTGGACAGGCCCCCATCTCCGCCTCGGCCTACCCCTGGCCTTGCCCCCCACTCATCACACTTGGAGCCCAGAGACTTCAAACGCAGATCCTGCTTCCCAGCAAGAACCCTGGGGCTCTGGCTTCTCGTGTTTCAGGGTCCCGGCATCGTTGTGCAGAAAAGCCTCTGTGCACGTTTTATTATTTTTCTCAATATTTTTTTAAAATTTAAATTCGATTTGTCAACCTATCGAGCAGTGCATTTAAAGAGAATTGGATACAAAGTTGCAACCCATGGGACAAGAACGATGTCTTTCTTGTCTACCACCTTATTCCCAGTGTTTGATTCAATGCCTTCAAATTATATGAACACGATATTATTTTTCGATAAATAAATGAGCTCTCAAAAAAAAAAAAAAGTTGCCAAGCCAGCTCTGAGATATTTTCATTGGCTCTGAGACCCCATTGCTTGAGGCTGGGTGGTTCCGATTTCCCCTAAAACAGCCACAGGCTGTCTGGGCTTCCAGGGGCACAAGGAGAGCTTGTGGGGATTTCTAATCAGGCAGAAGCCCCTCCGGTCAGCCCCCCGCGGCAAAGGGTTTTAATTCGCATTTCCCCCCAGGACTACTGCGGTGCAGCATCTTCTTACCTGCTTCTGGGCCATTTGGAGCTCTGCTTTGGGACAATATTTCTCCCTGTCTTTTGCCCAGTTTTTTAAAAAATGGGATTATTTGTTGTATTATGGAGTCACAGGAACTCTCTGTATATTCTTGATACATGTACTTGATCCAATACATACTTCCAAGGGGAAAAAAAAAAATGCTTTACTAAAAAACAAAAAAAAAAAACACTTGACCAAGCTGGGGAAATTTTTTATTTATTTATTTTTGGGGGGGGCGGTGTTTAAAAATCTGTTTCGTTTTGCTTCGTGTTTACCTTCCAGGAAGATTAAAACGACAAAACAGCAAGAATACACATGAAAGTACTTTGAACGGAAACTGAAAAATCCGTTGGTCCGAGGGGAACGTGGTAGAAGATTAAGGTAATTTATCCTAAGATCCTAAATCTCCTCTGACTGTTCCTGCCTTTCCCAAATTTCCACGGGTTTCTGTTTGTGAGGGCACGCTCCACGTAATCTGATTTTCTTTTTTTAAAGATTTTTATTTATTTGCGAGAGAGAGAATGAGAGGCAGAGAGCATGAGAGGGAGGAGGGTCAGAGGGAGAAGCAGACTCCCCGCCGAGCAGGGAGCCCGATGCGGGACTCGATCCCGGGACTCCAGGATCATGACCTGAGCCGAAGGCAGTCGCTTAGCCGACTGAGCCACCCAGGCGCCCAGTAATCTGATTTTTATTGCTATAAACATACAGTGATGTATATCGCCGTGCTGACCATCCTCAGTAAACTATGACCGGTACGGAGAGAGATTAAAATAAAAAAAAAGAAAAATTACTCTTTCTTTTTTTATGGCTTCTTGAGGCATTCTATCTGCTTTTGCAAGCCAAAAATTTTGAACGTCCTCACGGATCTGCCCAACGCGCGATGACTTTATTATGTTCGTAAAACTGTATCAGCTGCATCCCTGGGCTCATCGTAAAAGAGAAAGCTCATGCCCATGATCGGTGTTTTTCAATCGCAGTGGACGAGGATGCTCCGTGGGCTGCAGGAAACACAGCGCTCCGTGTTGGACAGAAAGCACCCGGACCAGACTGGGTACCCACCGTGCTAGACTCAGAGTCATCGCTTTCACATTGTTTGCTCGGGGCAGGGACGGTGCCCAACGAGCCCGTTACTCCCTTACAAACAAACCCAGGGCCATCCGTTTCCCTGGTGCATTTCCCTGTTCAGACCACAGCAGGATGGATTTCCGGGGACTCTCAGATGGTAATGTTTAAGGCGAAACAAGAAGTCTTCTGTGCACCTGCTCCGGAAGACGAGTCTCGGGAGCATTGCCCACTGGGAAAACCCATCACGGGCAGCCCACATTTTGTGTTGACGGGCTTGTGCACAGCCAAGCGGTGACCTGGCCATCCTTGTGACCGACTGGAACCAACCAAGACGTGGAGGGACCGGGATGAGGGGTTCAGGTGGCTCCTAACCTGGTGGGAGCTACTAGGCTGGATCATAGGGGGGACTTTTTAAATCTCTGGTTTCACCCCTGTAGGTATTGGCCCGCATGGTGCCCGGCAAAGTCAGCTCCTGGGTGTGCTAGGATCTGCCCACGGCAACGTCATTGGTGAAGATCTTTGCTTTGGGCACAACGGGGATGAGCCGTCCTGGGGTGGGCGCCTTACCAGGAATCTGTCTCCGCTTGGGGGGGACGACCAGCCTCTTTGTGTTGCTGAGAACATGATAGACCCTTTGGACTTTGGCTCTTCCAAACTATGTCCCCTCTCTCCCCTGCAAACAGCCCCCGCCCTCCACCGCTAAAACCGCTACCCTCTCCAAATGCAAGAAGAGAACTTGCCATCCTATAAGATCCTATAAGGGCTTTCTTTCTTTCTTTCTTTTTTAAATTAAGATGAGCGCCCTTGAATTGGAAATGTCTCTTCTTGCTGTAGATTTTGAAGACACCATTTTCTTCCTAATTTCTCCACCTATGGCCGCTCCTCGCGGTGGTAATAGGACATCACGCTGAAATTTGGGACTAATGTCTGAAGCTTTCTTACTGTTTTGTTTTGTTTTTTTTTTTAATGACTGGCATTTAAGACGACATATCGAAAACCAGCTCCTCACTGTCGGATTCAATTCTGGATTAGAAGCACTGTTAACCGTTTCCGCGCAGACGACCTTAACAGAGCAGTTAGGTCCCAAGCATGCTCCAATGTAGGAGAAAAAATAAAGGAAGTGGGGCCGGGAAGAGAGCTTGGCATGGATGGGTCTCGCCGCCGTTGATTGCCGACCTGATTTTAAAGTCAGACATGGGATCTGCTCCCCCCCTCGGGTGCTTTCTGCTGCGTAGCTACTCGTCCTTGATTCGAAGACCTATTATTTCAAGTCATACAATCGTGGGTGGGACAAGTCCCCGCGAGTCCTTTAACCTGGGGCTCCCCGTGTCAGTGCCGAGAGTTTGACGGTCAGTGGAAGGCAGTGAGCTGGTCCCGGTGAGGGATGGGCAGGTGCCTGACCCCCGCCCCCAACACACACACATGCACACACGTGCACATAATACAATTTTTATTCGGGTGGTACCGCCTTGCCTTTCTGAGGGTGCCACCTACGTCCATGTTTACTTCTTTTTTTAAAAAATATTTAATTATTTATTTGAGAGAGAGAGCAGGTAGAGGAGCCAAGGGACAGAGAATCTCAAGCAGACTCCGTGCTGAGTGACGAGCTGGATGTGGGGCTCGATCCCAGGACCCTGAGATCGTGACCTGAGCTGAAACCAAGAGTTAGATGCTTAACCGACTGCGCCACCCAGGTGCCCCCCCATACCCTGTTTACTCCTCCCCTTTCAACCTGAATGCTGTGTGTTTATCTCTCTAACAATCACACAGCCCCGGTTAGGACTCCCCATACGGTGCAGAACTGCACCGATGAGATCAGACGCCTTTCCCTCGTCCGCACACGTGGCTGGGAAAGCGTGTGTTCTCCCCGGGATTCAGAAACCCCCCTCAATTCCGAGCTTGCTGAAGGTCATCAGTGCCAGGTGGATTTTATCAAAGCCTTCCTCTGTCAAATCAAGATGACCCTGTCGGTTTTTCTTTCTCCCACCTGTTAAAAGGGTGGGTACCTGATACCAGGTGGGTACCTGAATTCCTTGTCATGAAGGAGCCCGGAATAATGTCCACCATAAGCCATGCTTGGTCAGGATCTGTCATGCTTTTTCTACATGTGATTGGGGCGCCTGGGTGGCTCAGTTGGTGAAGCGTCTGCCTTCAGCTCAGCTAATGATCTCAGGGTCCTGGGATCGAGTCCTGCATCGGGCTCCCTGCTTACAGGGGACCCTGCTTCTCCCTCTCCTCCCCGCTCATGCTCTCTCTCTCTGACATATAAATAAATAAAATCCTTAAAAAATGTATTTCTAAATGTGATTTGCTGATATTTTGTTGAGGGTTTTTGCATCTTTGCCCACAAAGGAGATCCATCTGTGGTTTACCTTTCTTGTCTTCTCTTTGTTTTTGCATCTAGATAAGTCTGCTCTCATAAAATGACTTGTAAGTCCAGTTTTCTTGATAATTTTTGTACAATCTGTGATATGTTATCACTAAATGTGTCAGAGAATTCATCAGTAAAACCGTTTGGACCTGGAGTTTTCTTTTAAAAAAAAATGCTTTTAGCTAACAATTTGATTGATTTCATCAATACAGGACAACTCAAGTTACCTATCTCGTCTTGCATGGGTTTTCTGAGGATGTGAGGAATTGCTCTATTTTATGTAAACTGCTTAACTGATAGGTATACGTTTTTTGTTATTATTTTCTTACTATCGTATCACTTTCTGCAAGACCTGTGATGAAGTTGGCCTTGGGGCTGAGCCAGAGCCGGCAAAAGAGGGGAAAATATCAGAATCTTCCCAGTTGCCAAATTCCACCTGTTCGGGTGAATTCCAGGAGACAACAGAGAAAAGAAATGTGTGTCTGTGTCCAAATCCCCCTCTTCTTGAAAGGACACCAGTCACTGGATTGGGGGCCCGCCCTTCCTAGCACAACCTCATCTTCACTAATTACATCTGCAAAGACCGTATCTCCAAATGAGGCGCACGTCGAGATGCAGCGGCGGCATGTCCCCAAGCCCGTCTGTACCATCTGCTCTCTCGGAGGGCTGCTGAGTGATTCGGCCACAGCATGCTGATACAGAGCCACGTGGATTCTCGGAGATGCCCACTGCGGCCTCATCGACAAGCTGGGCAGGGGACCGAGGCGGGTAGAGCACACAGGGCAGTTTGGACGAGACTTCAGTCACCCTCAGGTCACAGCCTGGGTGTCCTGGTGCTGGATGATGCACAGGGAGCGTGGACACAGTCACCAGTCCACGGAAGGCCCTCCCAGGATGGCCAACAGTGAACAGAGAGGGTGTGTCTGAGCTGGGCAGTGTGCACTCCCGTGGAGACCCGCATGGTGCAGCTCCAGGGTGGACCAGGAGCTCGCTCAGCTTGCACAAAGCTCCGGGTTCTGGAAGACTCCAGACACACTCACAGCGGGCTGGCCCCACTGCTGTCCACTGCCCCCTCCATATCGAAGCCCTATGTCCACTGTCCTGCTGTGAGGAGCACGGCCCTGTCTCCCCTGGGTCCTGACTCCCCGGAGACGTGTGGCGATGCCAGGTGTCGGGAGCAGGAGCTGGGTGGCCAGGATGAGCACGCCTGCCCTTCCTGAGCTCGAGAAGGACGAGGGCCGCGGTCCGTGCCGCAGACGACACGGTGAGGAAGTCACACCACCCAGGTATGTGAGCGCCTGGGGCTCCAGCTGAGGGTTTCCTCCTCCTCACCGTGGCAGACGTGGGGGACGTGGGGGAGGCGCTGGGTGTGGGGCCTGCGTCTATATCACTCACCAACCCCCCACCGTGATGCAACACACGCATGTTGCACGCACACACACGAGACGCATACCTCTCACACATGCGTGTGCATCCACACCCGCTCTCACACTACGCACACGTCCACGTGCTCACACATGTGGCCGCCCCCACCCTCATCATTACCAGGTTCCCTTCTTGTCACCGCCATCTCTGAAAAGCTCCACTTTCTGTTCCGGATAGATGTCTCGTTAGTAATGTCATGTAATTATTAATAATTATTACTTATTAATTTGTTATAGATAAGTATTAATTATTGCTTATTACTTATTAATTAATTTATTACATATAATTGTTAATTATTATTGCTCATTACTCATTAATCTATTACATATAATTATTAATATTTATTACTTATTTCTTATTAACTAATTTGTTATATATGATTATTAATTATTATTACTTATCGATTAATTTATTATATAATTATTAATAATTATTACTTATTAACTAATTTATTATATATGATTATTAATTGTTATTACTTATTAATTAATTTATTCCATATGATTATTAATCACTATTGCTTATTACCTATTAATTAGTTTATTATATATAATTATTACTTATTACTTATTCACTAATTTATTATATATAATTATTCATCGTTATTACTTATTAACTAATTTATTATATGTGATTATTACTTATTAACTAATTTATTATATAATTATTACTTGTTGCTTATTAATTAATTTATTATATAATTATTAATAATTGTTGCTTGTTAATTATTATTGCTTATTATTATTACTTAATTAATTTATTACATATAATTATTAATTATTGCTTATTACCTATTAACTAATTTATTATATAATTATTACTTATTACTTATTAACTAATTTATTATATAATTATTATTACTTGTTGCTTATTAATTAATTTATTATGTAATTATCAATAATTGTTGCTTATTATTAATTATTACTTATAATAATTATTTATTATTACATTAGTAATAAGCACATTACTAATTGCATTCATACACACTGTTAATAAAATGGTATTTTACTCATTATAAACGAATCGTATTTATTTCACATAAATAAATCATTTATACTTATCATAAGAAATAATATGTAACATATACTAACATAAACTTAAATAATTAAATAAAATTACTTAATAATTAATAATTAAAATTAAATGATACAAATTACTATCATTGCGGGACTACTATATTATCATTATGATTCTCATCTTCCTCTCGGCAGCAACGCTGTTATTACGATTGCTAGTACTGTGATCATGGTAGCGATGTTGTCGTCATGGAGGCAGTATCATGATTATAACTCTCATGGTAACGGTATTACTTTACTCTCACGGTGGCAGTATTACTGTAATTATTGTTACAATCACAGTGGCGGTACTGTCGTTCTCACGGGCATGGAGCGGTACCGTCGTTCTCCTGGGCATGGGAGCGGTACCGTCCTTCTCACAGGCACAGAGCGGTACCGTCGTTCTCCTGGGCACGGGAGCGGTACCGTCCTTCTCACGGGCACAGAGCGGTACCATCGTTCTCACAGGCACAGAGCGGTACCATCATTCTCACGGGCACGGAGTGGTACCGTCCTTCTCACGGGCACAGAGCGGTACCATCGTTCTCCTGGGCATGGGAGCGGTACCATCATTGTCACGGGCATGGTGGCGGTATCTTTGTTCTCATGGGCATGGAGTGGTACCGTCATTCTCACAGGCACGGCAGCAGTATGGTCATTCTCACGGGCATGGTACCATTATATCACCATCATGATCACAGAGGCAGCATTACTCCTGTCATGGTAGCGGTCTTACTCCCGTGATAGCAGGATTAGTCTCCTACTGCTCCCTCTCCAGACACAATAGCGCTATCGTTACGGTATCACGGTAGGAGTACTGTGACTACTGTCATGGCGTCAGAGGCTGACACGGCATGGACACCAGCAGACACTACACCAGACACGGCTGCAGGTGTCTGTGGGTAGTAACCCACTTCAGGCTCTCAAAGCCCAGAGACACATTCCCTACGCTCACCCTCATTTGCACTGAGATGCTGCGGCACAGGGAGCTCAATACCTTTCCCCAGTTCCCCCAGCTGGGAAGTGGTGGAGCCTGGCTACCCCCCAGGCAGGCTCTGCCCACAACTGGTTCTACCACGGCCACCCCGTGCCTCCTCTCTGAATAGGATGTGCACATCTGCTTCTGTGCTTTGTGGGCTGCCCTCAGCGTGGACTCGGGATGTGCATTCGTCTTGGGTTAAGCCAGAAGGAAAACCCTACACCAACACCAACATCAAACCTCCATCATTCCATCCATCCATCCATCCATCCATCCATCCATCCATCTCCCCATCTTTTCTTCTCAACTCTCTTCATGGCCCTGCTGCCCACTTACGCCTTCGTGTATTCATCTCCTTACATGGTCTGCAGAACGTGGTCTCCCCTGAACCTCACCTCAGCTCTCGGGACTCACACCTGAGAACGTGTTACATTACACAGCACAGGTACTCTGCAGGTGTAATTAAGGCTCCTGCCTGCTGAGATTACCCCCGGATTACCCAGGCTGAGCCCATGCAAGCACAGGAGCTCTAAAAATCAGAGCTTTCCACTTACAGAGGGCGGAAGACAAAGTCAAAGATTGAAAGCATGAGACCTTCGGGCGGCACATCTGCTAAGACCGGGGTGGCCTCCAAAGACAACCAGCAATGCCCCCTCTACAGAGATAGAGGGCTTCATCATACTTCTTCACGCATGAAACAAAGAAGCTTCACCCGTGATGGTGAAGCTTCTTTCCCCGCCCCGAGCCCTCGTGAAACAGAGACGTCGGCATTCACTAAACCGTTTCCAAATGCCCATCTAATTGGATTCTCTCAACACATTTAGGTATCAATCTGATTTACAAAAGCATTTCTTCAGAGCTTAATTACAAGTGTACGCAACAGGACTTACACTTGAAGCTCCTCGTTTCTTTCCGCCATCCAGCCATCCAACCAGTCGAAAATAAACAAGTGGAGCTGTATGCACAGTTTTGACTATGTCAACACAGCGTCTAAATCAAGCCACTTGTTTGGTTTTAATTAGTGGAAGTTTGGCTTTAGTAGGAAAAACATCATTTTGGAAAAGAACTTAGTTCTAGGGTTGGAAAATTGTCATCAGTTGAGGAGAAATAAATGCCTCCAATTTGCCACATGAAAATGGATGTTGTGGTAAATTTAGCCTACTTTTCTTTCAGCAGATAAAAATGTAATTTATCAAGTAGGCATTTAGGGGAAGTGTGGGAATCGTAACGACAGTTTCAGGGATGGCAAAAAGATTTTGAGTTGTTATTTGTGACATCAAGTCAATAGATCCAAGAATGGGTTGCCATATTGGTTGGATTCTCTGTGAAATATATTTTAGATTATATTTTTATCGGTACGCACATATATAAAGAGTCAACACGTGGATGCGAAGGCTACACCCCAACTTCACAGTAGTAATGATGTGTGGTGACAAGAGGGGTCAAGGGTAATTTGGGGTGCTAAATACACACCCCCCATTCTTATCCCATCCATCAAAATATCTTTTGTAACAGAATGTTAAAATTGAATTTTCCAGTAGGCACCATGATACGGTAGATTTGAGACTTCAGGGTGAAGTAACACATCATCACTTGCAAATTTACAAAGAAAATTAAAAGATAGGAACCAGTTCCATGATTTTTCACACATTCACACACACCCCTTTGAAAATATGAAGGAATCTATGCAAGGTTTTGGAAATTTTCTTAAAAGGTACAGATTATGCCACGAACCTTCCCACACACTAGAAGATGCTTGTTTTCTGCATCAGTCAGCTCTACATTGAATGAGGTTGCATAACAAACAACCCTCAATCTCAGTTCCCTGCAATGATAAATACTTATTTTTCACACCTGTGGGTTTGTGGGTGTTTGGTGGCAGATCTAGATTGTGTTGCCCCAGGCTAAGCTGAACCCAATGTGTCAGCATAGATTCATGTCTGCTCTGCTTGATTTTGATTTCCTTATTTTGGAACCCAGGGATATTCCTGTAATGGTGGAGAGTGGATATTCAGAGGACAAGCCAAACCATGCAGGCACACCTCAGCTTCAAGCATTTCTTCTAGTATTCGACATGCCAAAACGAACCAGATGCAAAGTCCAAAGTCAATGGACTAGGGATGCATGGTCTTTGCACCAAGGATTAGCCAGGGCCAAGTCATGGAAAGAAGAAAGACATTGTGAGCAATTAATGCAGCCTACCACACCTCCTAACCTCAAGCCTGGTGGGAGGGGACGTATTTCCCAAGTCCCCCTTCATATTCAAAACCCATCATTTCCTTCCCCCAAGGGGCTGATGGACATGGTCTGCATCATTCAGTCCTGGGCTCCCTGGTGAGTTCAATGACAGAAGACAGTGGAAGGAAGTGGGAAGTTGGGAGGGAAAGATATTTCTGCCTTGGAACAACCTTATCTGTTTGGTTGGTGCTGGTTTCGGGGAGGGAGGGAGGAAGAAGGAAAACAGGAAGCTTGATGCCTCCGCCATTTTCCCTTTGCTGACGCATACACGGTCTACTGCCCCATTTTTGCACTGAGTAATCAGATACTGGTTAAATTACCATTTTCCTAGTTTTCTTCCCCACTTGTGCTTTTTAATCACATCGTATGTCCTTGTTCCTATAACCCATATCTATGCCGACATGTTTTTAAATTTACTCATATAATCTTCATCAATGGAGCATGGCAAGATTAAAAATGCACTTCTGTCCTGTGGCCTTATCATCAAAAAAATAAGACAAAGCCTGCCCTGAGTATGCAAAACGTGTGTAGATGCCTTCCATTATGATCTCCATATGCTAAGTTTTATTTTCACAGGTACATTTCTGAGGTTTTATCTGTCTGGTGCAGCCTCTCATAGAAACTGTTGTAATTGAAAAAAACAAAAACCGTATGTAAAGACATTTCATAGCTGAGTTTGAAACCATATCAAAAAGCTTTAAAAGTCCATCTTTTGGTGAATTTGTCCTTACCTTCCATTTGTACCTCATGAGAAAAGCAGCACATTCCCACCTCCTTTGCAAGGTGGAAGATGGATTGTAATGCCTAATTAGCACCTAAGTGATGCACACAGATTGGCTTATCTTCCATTCCTTGAAGCCTTCAGAGGAAAAGATTCTGACAACCCCCCAGCGACACTGAAATTAAACTGGGGGACACAGGCTCCAACACCTCCAGGATCTGTTGTGTCGGGAGGGCGATGTGCATGACCATTGG